CGCCGGGTTCTCCGCCTGTCTTCAAGGCGCGTTACGTTGCTCGAGGCTTCAGTCAGCGACAGGGAGTTGACTTCTTCCAGACCTTCTCCCCGACCCCGAAGATGACCACTCTTCGGGTTCTGCTGCACGTCGCTGCTAGCATGACTACGAGCTCCACTCTCTTGACTTCAGCACTGCTTTCCTACAGGGCAGCCCGCACGAGGAGATCTGGCTGCGCCGCCCACCTGGCTTCACCGTTACACCTTCAGCCTTGGCTCCGGTTCTGTTTCGTGGCGGTCTACCCGCTCGTCTTCCGTTCTCAGCTCCAGCTGTGAGGCTGAGATCTACGCAGGGGCCATGGCTGCACAGGAGTTACGCTGGCTCACCTACCTGCTGACCGACTTGGGAGAGGCGCCTCGTTCTCCTCCAGTTCTGTACGTCGACAACAAGGCAATGATTGCCTTGTCTCAGGAGCACAGATTGGAGCACAGAACGAAGCACATAGCTCTGCGCTACTTCCTTGCTCGAGCGTTGCAGCAGCGTGGTCAGCTTCGTCTTGCTTACGTGGCCTCTCAGGCCAACACTGCTGATATCTTCACCAAGGCACTTCCGCCTTGTGATCATCAGCGTTTCTGTACTGTTCTAGGGCTTGTGCCTACTTGGCCTCACTTGCTCACTTCTTGACTTTGCTTGTACTGTGATCTATATACTTGTATCTGCATGCTTACACTTGCTAGGTTGTGATCGTTGTACTGCTTGTTCTCCTTTATATATAACTCTGCATGTGAACTGGCCTTGTGGCCATTTGCTTGTGCTCAGAATGTGTGGTGACTTCGTGATCCACCCTGAGCTTGCTTTGCCTTTCTTGACTGGTCTTGTGACCTTGTGTTCTTCCCGACTTTGCCTATGGGGGTGTGTCAAACTATGTGTTGCTTGTTATGTAGGCTGTAGTGGGGTAGCCCATATGGGGTACAAACCAAATTAGGGTTAGCTACTTGTAACCATCCTGCTTCTAGTTGATTCATTCCTCGTTCTATCTTTCACAGGAGGAGTGCCTTGCAAGGTCGTCATTCTGGGCCGAATCCTGCGAGCACGATGTTCAGGAAAATTTCCTGCGAAGTCGAGCTTTCAAGTTTTGCGATTCGTTTCGAGGGAGAAGGTATGCAGGGCGGTATTACGGCCAGCCGTGGTCGGTTGAGAGGGTTGGGAGGAGTTTCCCGCGTCGCCATTCCTCAATGTCTGGAGCCCTTGCTCCAGAGTTGAAAGTCGCTGAAGTAGTTGTTCGAGTGCGACGGTACTGATCGTCGTCGTCGCCTCGTGTGTCGCAGCTAGGTTGGTTTGCGCTTCGGCGGTCAGATTTGTCTGACCTCCAGATCCTCCGGCCATCCTTACGCGTAAGCGCATGTTGGACGCCACCTTAGTTTGCTGAGATTTTCAGAGTCGGCAATGCGAATGATTCATGAGGCGCTCTCATACCATGTTGCAATCAGAATGTTGATCGTGCCTAGGATCACCTCATGAAGTTCGCAGGGAGTATGTTGCAGCGGAAGTATTGACCTCAGGTCAGAGTAAAGTCAAAATCACTGGGATGGTTAAAACAATAGGCATACGTGATATTTTATAGTGATACAGAGGGAAAACCAATCGCCCCAACTAGCCACGTACTCTAAAAGGTACATTCCCTTATTGCAGCGAAACTTAACTGTGCGACTCCGGACAGTTACAAACTGTTCCTGCCTAAATCCTCGCTCCTGCAGCTGCTCGATGCTTCTGCTCCGACGGTCTAGATTCTGCCAACCGTACTCGCCTCTTGCTGTCATTCCGACCTTTCACCTTCGTATTCGTCTTTCCATTCTTTGGTTTGCTAGCAGTAGGAGTGCACAGTGCTTCTCAATTTACTGTTCGTGACATTTTTGAACCGGACTGTAGCTTGTCCGTTGGAGCTATACTAATCAGCTGATTTTATTATTTGGCTTCAATCATGTTGTGCGAAGGTCTCAAATTAGGTGTAGAGTCCTTTGCAATCCCTGGTCAGCGGTGTGATGTGAAGTCTTTCTACGTCAACCCTTGTCAAACATGAGGTGTCTAATGCACCGAATACCACCAAGCCAATCAAGCATTGTTCGCGGCTCGCCACAAGTCAAACACGACTTCAAACGAACCTCCTCCCTCGTGGAAGGCGAAATAGGGCGAAGCTTTAGATTTCGGTCAGTTCACTTCGTGATATTCCAACATTGCCCTTCACCGCGACAAAATGATAACCTGTCAATATCGAGCGTTAGTGCGCGGCACCGTTTTGCCGCTTGATTCTTTGAACTACTGAAGGTTCAGACTGTGCTCGGGTAACACGTGTGGTCAGAAGTCGTCAGTATCTTCGTCAAAATTCATGCGACCAAGTCCTTGACGGTTTTCGTCGGTTCGCTTCTCTGCGACGTCACGACAGGTCGTATTCGAACGGATTGAGGCGCACACGCCTCAAACTTTAGCGTTCGGAAAAATAGTGCTGCACTCTAGATTGGTTGCGAACAGAGCAGTTAACAGCAGCATAGACTGTGTGAGATTGGAGTGATCTCATAAAGACTTCAGCATAGACTGAAGTAATCTGATTAGACTTCAGTTTTTTCTTTCTTGAAAGTTTGAAAAGTCCTTGAATTGTCTCTTCTTTCCTGCATAGTATTCCCACCTACCAACAAAACTCTGGCAGTATTGATTGACAGCGTGGGACAGCTGAAGTGGTAGAAATCCTCACGCGTATGTGAAGTTGCCATGCAATGAAAAAAGGCCTGGCTCGTTTGCCTCACAGACATAGTAAAGTTTTCACGTTGCTAACGTTTCTTGGACCTTATGGCGATCATGAATCTGAGAAAACCAAGTAAACGCGACGTTTTTTCATGGCTTCTGGCTGTCGTCGCCACGGCCATGATCTTTGCTCTCCTGGGAGTCATGCTACCGCCCTTGCGACCTTGCTCTGCACTCCATGTAGTTCAACCAGGTAAAACAGTACTAGGATTTAATAGGTTCCGTGGCCTGCAGTGCCGCGTGTAGCACAACCATGAGAACTCAGAGTTCCGATACGCGTGGCCTGCTTTCAGGTGTAAATACTACAAAAGTAGTACCTGTGCAAGTGTGTAGAAATAATGTTAGTAATAACCAACTCGATTTCATATTTCAACCCAAATCTCTCTCAATTCCCCTCTGATTTCCCTATATTCAACCCGTCTTCCCCCCGTCTCCCTCCAACTCATACTAGCTCCCCTCCTTCCCCCCCCTGTTAGAATATACACCCCCCCCCCCTCCCCCCTCTCCCTCCCCCCCCCCCCCCCTCCCCCCCAACCCCCCGTCTTCCTATCCTCCCCCCCCCTCCTCCCGCCCCCTTTCTACCCCCCCTTCCCACTTGTGAATTTCAGCAACCGGAAGGTCCAACACGAAAAGTACATCGGGCATTTATGGACCATGCCGTTACTGACGCCCCCTCCTTCCTATCCACGCTCCCTTACCCCCTAATCCTTCCCCCCCTCCCCTCCGCTTGTGACAGCGGAACGAAGCGTTGCAAGCGCTAGGTTCAGCATAACACAGGGTGACTTCGTGCCCCTGCCCATCCGTGCTGTCAAATCTGTCGCAGGGTGGGGGAAAGCGGGGTGTAAGCCCCCTCCCCTGTTATTCATGCTCTCCCTCCTCCCCCTCCCTCCCTGTTAGAATATAAACCTCACCCCCTCCCCCCCCCTCCCCTCCCCCCCCCCACCCCCCGTCTTCCTCCCCCCCCCACCCTCCTCCCGCCCCCTTTCCAATCCCCCTTCCCACGTCTGAATTTCAGCAACCGGAAGGTCCAACACGAAGCAGTACATCGGGCATTTATGGACGGTGCCGTCATTGTTGTCCTATTGCAGCAGGGTCAGTGGGCTGAGGGCCGCTAACTCCCTGCTCTTTCCTTCCTGCTGTGCTTCCGCCCTTTCCCCTCTTTCCCCCCCTCCTCCTGTTTCTTATCAGCAGCCGGAAGGCCCAACACAAAGCTATACATCGTGCACTTATCGTCGGTACCGTCAGTGCTGTCCTATCGGGGGGGAATCAGTGGGCTACGGGCCACAGCGACTGTAGACGATAACGAGGACGAGTATGACGAGGACGATGAGGATAAACAGGAGGATGGCGGCGATGCTGGTGGTGGTGATGGCAGTGGGAGCACTGGTGGAAGCGGTGGCAATGGCACTGCACCAGGATCAGCAGCAGGATCAGCAGCAGGATCAACAGCAGGCTCAGCAGCAGGATCAGCAGCAAAATCAGCTACAGCATCACCCACAGCAGCACCAGCTGTTAATGGTGGTGGCAATGGCACTGCACCAGGATCAGCAGCAGGCTCAGCTGAAGGATTAGCAGCAGGAGTAGCAGCAGGGGAAGAAGCAATAAAGGCAACAGCAGAATCAGAAGAAAAACCAACAGGAACAGAATCGGGAAAGACTGGCTTTTATGCGGATATTCAGTTTGCAAGTGCGGCTGCTGCAGAGGCGGCAATGGAAATGGCAGGAATGGGAGGAGCAGGAGCAGCAGCAGGGGCGGAGAGGTTGGCAGGGGTAGCAGCAACAGCAGTAGCAGGTGGAGGAGGAGGAGAGGGAGGAGGAGGAGGGAGAGGAGTTCGAGGAGTGAGGGTGAGCGCACTGCCGTTTGCAAGAACCGGGCTGGATGCGCTGGTGGAGAGGGTGGGTCAGCGGCTGAGAAAGATTAAATCGCTGTCTGTTGGCCGGCGCCTGCTGGCCCGCGTTGCCGCTGCTGCAGTGGCAGCAGCAGCAGAGGAAGCAGCAGAAGAATCAGCAGGAGCACATTCTGCTGGTGCTGGTGCTGCTGCTGGTGTGAGTGCTGCTGCTGATTCTGTCACAGAGCCATCCCAGAACTCATCATTTTACCCATCTTCTGTTTCTTCTACTTTCATCGCCAATCATAGCACGACAGCAGGCATAGGAAGTGCCACATCAGCATCAGCGTCATCATCTTCACCAGCAGCAGCACAAGGCGGTGACAAGGCACCAATGGCAACCGGAGCCACGTCAGCAGTGCTGACGGTGCAGCAGCTGAGTGCACGTGCCGCTCGCATCATGCGCTCAACGCCGTGGGGACGACTCATGCGACCCGACGTGCGGTTACCACACGTCCAAGCCTTCACGGGCTTCCTGGAAGCTTCTCACCGCAGCCTGCTACAGTCGATTGGGATCCCATCCTCAGCCATCTTCCACAGGTGGGAGAGGGGAGGAGAGGGAGGGGGGAGAAGGGGGAGTATGGGGAAATTGCGGGGGGGGAGGGGGGGGGAACTGGGGGAAAGAGGTACAATTCGATGTTAGGAGGTGGAGGGTCCAAACCTCTACTCCCCTTGCGTCCCCACTGCTCTTGTACCTTGGGAGCAGCATTACAGCCCATCTCACCTTTGGGCGGGGCAGCAGTGGCTGCTATGGAGAGGATGAGTGACATCTGTGTTTGAGAAATCTCATCTCACTTTGTGACCTCTGTGCCTCTGCCTGCTTCCCACCCCCACCTTTCCCTTTCACCCTCCCCTCCCTTTCACCACTCAGCTACACCTATCTGATGAACAGCTTTGCAGCGCAGCTCACCACTGCGGAGGCAAGGCGGCTCAAGAGGCACCCAGCAGTGGCAGAGGTGGAGAGAGACCGCACAGTGCGAGTGACCTCGGTGCACTCCCCTGAGTTCCTCAAGCTCGACTCGAGCCTGTGGCCGGCGAATGGTGGGCAGAGCAACGCGGGAGAGGGAGTGATCATTGGAGTGATTGATTCAGGAATTTGGCCCGAGCACCCCTCCTTCTCTGACCCGGTGAGTTCTCCGAGTGACTGTGTCGGAGTGGGCTATGGCTTTGAGAGCTCATGGCAGAGCAACGCAGGAGAGGGAGTGATCATCGGAGTGATCGACTCGGGTGTATGGCCCGAACACCCTTCCTTCTCTAACCCTGTAAGTTCTGAGTCGTTTCAAATCGTGGGCAGAGCAACGCAGGAGAGGGAGTGATTATTGAGTGATTGACTCGGGGATCTGGCCCGAACACCCCTTCTTCTCTAACCCTGTAAGTTCTAAGACGCTTCGAATGGCGGGCAGAGCAACGCGGGAGAGGGAGTGATAATTGGAGTGATTGACTCGGGAATTTGGCCCGAACACCCCTCCTTCTCGAACCCTGTGAGTGTGCCGAGTGGCTGAGCCAGGAATGAGGGCTATGGCTTTGAGATAGTCGTCAGGGTATGGCAGAGAAACGCGGGAGAGGGAGTGATCATCGGACTGATAAATTCTGGAATTTGGCCTGAACGCCCCTCTTTCTCTAATCCTGTGATTTCTGAGACGTTTCAAATGTTGGGCAAAGCAACACTGGAGTGAAAGTGATCATCGGAGTGATTGACTCGGGGACCTGGCCAAACACCCTTCTTATTAACCCTGTAAGCCCGAACACCCCTCCTTCTCCAACCCTGTGAGTGCATTCGTTTTTCTCAACCTCTCACACACAAACCCCAGACCCTTTCCCTTCACCCCGCCCCTCTTTCCTTGGTCCGCCTTCCTTTCCTCTTTTATAGCCTTTTTTTCTCTGCATATCCTCTCACCCAACCCCATACCCTTACCCTTGACCCCTCTTTCCATTGGTCCTCTTTTCTGCTGCCCCAGTGCGTTGGAGAGGCGTGTGCAGTGAAACAGACGACTCTTCATCTTTTCCCCTCTACTTCTTCCTGCAGGACCCGAACGGAGTGCCTTACTCCGCTGCCCCGGTGCGCTGGAGAGGCGTGTGCACCAAAACAGACGACTTCACAGCGTGCAACGGCAAGGTTGTTGGAGTGAGGTTTTTTGTAAAAGGGGCAGAGCGGAACTATGGCAAAATAGACATCTCAACTGAGTACCGGTCGGCACGGGACATGCTGCAGCACGGCACGTGGTGCGCGGGGTGAGTGTGATATCGTCAGGTTTAATCTTACTAGACATACTGCAGCACAGCACGTAGTGTGTGGAGTGAGTGTGTGGGGGGTGGTGAGTGCAATATGCTCAGGTTTTCTTCTATGAGACATGCTGGGCATGCATGTGTGCATGCACGTGGGCATGCACTTGGGCATGCACGTGGGCATGCACGTGGGCATGCACGTGGGCATGCACGTGGGCATGCACGTGGGCATGCACGTGGGCATGTACGTCGGCATGCACGTGGGCATGCAGGGGGACATCTCTATAAAGTACCGGTCGGCATGGGACATGCTGCAGCACGGCACGTGGTGTGCAGGGTGAGTGTGATATTTCTCAGGTTTGATTCCACTAGAGATGCTGGGCATGCACGTGGGCATGCACGTGGGCATGCAGGTGGGCATCACAACCGAATACCGGTCGGCACGGGACATGCTGCAGCATGGCACGTGGTGTGCGGGGTGAGTGTGATGTGACTTTTGAGTCGCCTCAAAAGGCTCGTGGTGCGCGGGGTGAGTGCTTGGAACAGCAACGTGGTTGGGGCGAGGTTCTTCCTGAAGGGTCTAGAGCGGAACTGTGGCATGATTAACATCTCAACAGAGTACCGGTCGGCATGGGACATGCTGCAGCATGGCACGTGGTGTGCGGGGTGAGTGTGATGTGCTCTGACTTTTTCGTAATAGTCATGCTTGACATGGGAGAAATGGGGGGCATGCGACAGACGCTGGATAGGTGAGCTGGATAGGTGAGTTGGACAGGTGATTTGGATAGGTGAGTTGGATAGGTGAGTTGGATAGGTGAATTGGATAGGTGAGTTGGATAGGTGAGTTGGATAGGTGAATTGGATAGGTAAATTGGATAGGTGCGTTGGACAATTGAGTTGGAAATGTGAGTTGGAGATGTGAGTTGGAAATGTGAGTTGGAAAAGTGAGTTGGAAACGTGAGTTGGAAATGTGAGTTGGAAATGTGAGTTGGACATGTGAGTTGGACATGTGAGTAAGACATGTGAGTTGGAAATGTGAGTTGGACATGTGAGTTGGAAATGTGAGTTGGAAATGTGAGTTGGAAATGCAAGTTGGAAATGTGAGTTGGAAATGTGAGTTGGAAATGTGAGTTGGACATTTGAGTTGGAAATGTGAGTTGGAAATGTGAATTGGACATATGAGTTGGGAGTTGGACATGTGAGTTGGACATTTGAGTTGGGAGTTGGATGTGTGAGTTGGACATTTGAGTTGGGAGTTGGATATGTGAGTTGGACATTTGAGTTGGGAGTTGGATATGTGAGTTGGACATTTGAGTTGGGAGTTGGAAATGTGAGTTGGACATATGACTTGGGAGTTGGATATGTGAGTTGGATAATGGATATGTGAGTTGGACATTTGAGTTGGGAGTTGGATATGTGAGTTGGATATGTGAGTTGGATAATGGATATGTGAGTTGGACATTTGAGTTGGGAGTTGGATATGTGAGTTGGACATTTGAGTTGGGAGTTGGACATTTGAGTTGGGAGTTGGATATGTGAGTTGGACATTTGAGTTGGGAGTTGGATACGTGAGTTGGACATTTGAGTTGGGAGTTGGATATGTGAGTTGGACATTTGAGTTGGGAGTTGGATACGTGAGTTGGACATTTGAGTTGGGAGTTGGATATGTGAGTTGGACATTTGAGTTGGGAGTTGGATACGTGAGTTGGACATTTGAGTTGGGAGTTGGATACGTGAGTTGGACATTTGAGTTGGGAGTTGGATACGTGAGTTGGACATTTGAGTTGGGAGTTGGACATGTGAGTTGGACATTTGAGTTGGGAGTTGGACATTTGAGTTGGGAGTTGGATACGTGAGTTGGACATTTGAGTTGGGAGTTGGATACGTGAGTTGGACATTTGAGTTGGGAGTTGGATACGTGAGTTGGACATTTGAGTTGGGAGTTGGATACGTGAGTTGGACATTTGAGTTGGGAGTTGGATACGTGAGTTGGACATTTGAGTTGGGAGTTGGATACGTGAGTTGGACATTTGAGTTGGGAGTTGGATACGTGAGTTGGACATTTGAGTTGGGAGTTGGATACGTGAGTTGGACATTTGAGTTGGGAGTTGGATACGTGAGTTGGACATTTGAGTTGGGAGTTGGATACGTGAGTTGGACATTTGAGTTGGGAGTTGGATACGTGAGTTGGACATTTGAGTTGGGAGTTGGATACGTGAGTTGGACATTTGAGTTGGGAGTTGGATACGTGAGTTGGACATTTGAGTTGGGAGTTGGATACGTGAGTTGGACATTTGAGTTGGGAGTTGGATACGTGAGTTGGACATTTGAGTTGGGAGTTGGATACGTGAGTTGGACATTTGAGTTGGGAGTTGGATACGTGAGTTGGACATTTGAGTTGGGAGTTGGATACGTGAGTTGGACATTTGAGTTGGGAGTTGGATACGTGAGTTGGACATTTGAGTTGGGAGTTGGATACGTGAGTTGGACATTTGAGTTGGGAGTTGGATACGTGAGTTGGACATTTGAGTTGGGAGTTGGATACGTGAGTTGGACATTTGAGTTGGGAGTTGGATACGTGAGTTGGACATTTGAGTTGGGAGTTGGATACGTGAGTTGGACATTTGAGTTGGGAGTTGGATACGTGAGTTGGACATTTGAGTTGGGAGTTGGATACGTGAGTTGGACATTTGAGTTGGGAGTTGGATACGTGAGTTGGACATTTGAGTTGGGAGTTGGATACGTGAGTTGGACATTTGAGTTGGGAGTTGGATACGTGAGTTGGACATTTGAGTTGGGAGTTGGATACGTGAGTTGGACATTTGAGTTGGGAGTTGGATACGTGAGTTGGACATTTGAGTTGGGAGTTGGATACGTGAGTTGGACATTTGAGTTGGGAGTTGGATACGTGAGTTGGACATTTGAGTTGGGAGTTGGATACGTGAGTTGGACATTTGAGTTGGGAGTTGGATACGTGAGTTGGACATTTGAGTTGGGAGTTGGATACGTGAGTTGGACATTTGAGTTGGGAGTTGGATACGTGAGTTGGACATTTGAGTTGGGAGTTGGATACGTGAGTTGGACATTTGAGTTGGGAGTTGGATACGTGAGTTGGACATTTGAGTTGGGAGTTGGATACGTGAGTTGGACATTTGAGTTGGGAGTTGGATACGTGAGTTGGACATTTGAGTTGGGAGTTGGATACGTGAGTTGGACATTTGAGTTGGGAGTTGGATACGTGAGTTGGACATTTGAGTTGGGAGTTGGATACGTGAGTTGGACATTTGAGTTGGGAGTTGGATACGTGAGTTGGACATTTGAGTTGGGAGTTGGATACGTGAGTTGGACATTTGAGTTGGGAGTTGGATACGTGAGTTGGACATTTGAGTTGGGAGTTGGATACGTGAGTTGGACATTTGAGTTGGGAGTTGGATACGTGAGTTGGACATTTGAGTTGGGAGTTGGATACGTGAGTTGGACATTTGAGTTGGGAGTTGGATACGTGAGTTGGACATTTGAGTTGGGAGTTGGATACGTGAGTTGGACATTTGAGTTGGGAGTTGGATACGTGAGTTGGACATTTGAGTTGGGAGTTGGATACGTGAGTTGGACATTTGAGTTGGGAGTTGGATACGTGAGTTGGACATTTGAGTTGGGAGTTGGATACGTGAGTTGGACATTTGAGTTGGGAGTTGGATACGTGAGTTGGACATTTGAGTTGGGAGTTGGATACGTGAGTTGGACATTTGAGTTGGGAGTTGGATACGTGAGTTGGACATTTGAGTTGGGAGTTGGATACGTGAGTTGGACATTTGAGTTGGGAGTTGGATACGTGAGTTGGACATTTGAGTTGGGAGTTGGATACGTGAGTTGGACATTTGAGTTGGGAGTTGGATACGTGAGTTGGACATTTGAGTTGGGAGTTGGATACGTGAGTTGGACATTTGAGTTGGGAGTTGGATACGTGAGTTGGACATTTGAGTTGGGAGTTGGATACGTGAGTTGGACATTTGAGTTGGGAGTTGGATACGTGAGTTGGACATTTGAGTTGGGAGTTGGATACGTGAGTTGGACATTTGAGTTGGGAGTTGGATACGTGAGTTGGACATTTGAGTTGGGAGTTGGATACGTGAGTTGGACATTTGAGTTGGGAGTTGGATACGTGAGTTGGACATTTGAGTTGGGAGTTGGATACGTGAGTTGGACATTTGAGATCGGAGTTGGATACGTGAGTTGGACATTTGAGTTGGGAGTTGGATACGTGAGTTGGACATTTGAGTTGGGAGTTGGATACGTGAGTTGGACATTTGAGTTCGGAGTTGGATACGTGAGTTGGACATTTGAGTTGGGAGTTGGATACGTGAGTTGGACATTTGAGTTGGGAGTTGGATACGTGAGTTGGACATTTGAGTTGGGAGTTGGATACGTGAGTTGGACATTTGAGTTGGGAGTTGGATACGTGAGTTGGACATTTGAGTTGGGAGTTGGATACGTGAGTTGGACATTTGAGTTCGGAGTTGGATATGTGAGTTGGATAATGGATATGTGAGTTGGACATTTGAGTTGGGAGTTGGATATGTGAGTTGGATATGTGAGTTGGATAATGGATATGTGAGTTGGACATTTGAGTTGGGAGTTGGATATGTGAGTTGGACATTTGAGTTGGGAGTTGGACATTTGAGTTGGGAGTTGGATATGTGAGTTGGACATTTGAGTTGGGATTTGGATACGTGAGTTGGACATTTGAGTTCGGAGTTGGATACGTGAGTTGGACATTTGAGTTGGGAGTTGGATACGTGAGTTGGACATTTGAGTTGGGAGTTGGATACGTGAGTTGGACATTTGAGTTGGGAGTTGGATACGTGAGTTGGACATTTGAGTTGGGAGTTGGATACGTGAGTTGGACATTTGAGTTGGGAGTTGGATACGTGAGTTGGACATTTGAGTTGGGAGTTGGATACGTGAGTTGGACATTTGAGTTGGGAGTTGGATACGTGAGTTGGACATTTGAGTTGGGAGTTGGATACGTGAGTTGGACATTTGAGTTGGGAGTTGGATACGTGAGTTGGACATTTGAGTTGGGAGTTGGATACGTGAGTTGGACATTTGAGTTGGGAGTTGGATACGTGAGTTGGACATTTGAGTTGGGAGTTGGATACGTGAGTTGGACATTTGAGTTGGGAGTTGGATACGTGAGTTGGACATTTGAGTTGGGAGTTGGATACGTGAGTTGGACATTTGAGTTGGGAGTTGGATACGTGAGTTGGACATTTGAGTTGGGAGTTGGATACGTGAGTTGGACATTTGAGTTGGGAGTTGGATACGTGAGTTGGACATTTGAGTTGGGAGTTGGATACGTGAGTTGGACATTTGAGTTGGGAGTTGGATACGTGAGTTGGACATTTGAGTTGGGAGTTGGATACGTGAGTTGGACATTTGAGTTGGGAGTTGGATACGTGAGTTGGACATTTGAGTTGGGAGTTGGATACGTGAGTTGGACATTTGAGTTGGGAGTTGGATACGTGAGTTGGACATTTGAGTTGGGAGTTGGATACGTGAGTTGGACATTTGAGTTGGGAGTTGGATACGTGAGTTGGACATTTGAGTTGGGAGTTGGATACGTGAGTTGGACATTTGAGTTGGGAGTTGGATACGTGAGTTGGACATTTGAGTTGGGAGTTGGATACGTGAGTTGGACATTTGAGTTGGGAGTTGGATACGTGAGTTGGACATTTGAGTTGGGAGTTGGATACGTGAGTTGGACATTTGAGTTGGGAGTTGGATACGTGAGTTGGACATTTGAGTTGGGAGTTGGATACGTGAGTTGGACATTTGAGTTGGGAGTTGGATACGTGAGTTGGACATTTGAGTTGGGAGTTGGATACGTGAGTTGGACATTTGAGTTGGGAGTTGGATACGTGAGTTGGACATTTGAGTTGGGAGTTGGATACGTGAGTTGGACATTTGAGTTGGGAGTTGGATACGTGAGTTGGACATTTGAGTTGGGAGTAGGATACGTGAGTTGGACATTTGAGTTGGGAGTTGGATACGTGAGTTGGACATTTGAGTTGGGAGTTGGATACGTGAGTTGGACATTTGAGTTGGGAGTTGGATACGTGAGTTGGACATTTGAGTTGGGAGTTGGATACGTGAGTTGGACATTTGAGTTGGGAGTTGGATACGTGAGTTGGACATTTGAGTTGGGAGTTGGATACGTGAGTTGGACATTTGAGTTGGGAGTTGGATACGTGAGTTGGACATTTGAGTTGGGAGTTGGATACGTGAGTTGGACATTTGAGTTGGGAGTTGGATACGTGAGTTGGACATTTGAGTTGGGAGTTGGATACGTGAGTTGGACATTTGAGTTGGGAGTTGGATACGTGAGTTGGACATTTGAGTTGGGAGTTGGATACGTGAGTTGGACATTTGAGTTGGGAGTTGGATACGTGAGTTGGACATTTGAGTTGGGAGTTGGATACGTGAGTTGGACATTTGAGTTGGGAGTTGGATACGTGAGTTGGACATTTGAGTTGGGAGTTGGATACGTGAGTTGGACATTTGAGTTGGGAGTTGGATACGTGAGTTGGACATTTGAGTTGGGAGTTGGATACGTGAGTTGGACATTTGAGTTGGGAGTTGGATACGTGAGTTGGACATTTGAGTTGGGAGTTGGATACGTGAGTTGGACATTTGAGTTGGGAGTTGGATACGTGAGTTGGACATTTGAGTTGGGAGTTGGATACGTGAGTTGGACATTTGAGTTGGGAGTTGGATACGTGAGTTGGACATTTGAGTTGGGAGTTGGATACGTGAGTTGGACATTTGAGTTGGGAGTTGGATACGTGAGTTGGACATTTGAGTTGGGAGTTGGATACGTGAGTTGGACATTTGAGTTGGGAGTTGGATACGTGAGTTGGACATTTGAGTTGGGAGTTGGATACGTGAGTTGGACATTTGAGTTGGGAGTTGGATACGTGAGTTGGACATTTGAGTTGGGAGTTGGATACGTGAGTTGGACATTTGAGTTGGGAGTTGGATACGTGAGTTGGACATTTGAGTTGGGAGTTGGATACGTGAGTTGGACATTTGAGTTGGGAGTTGGATACGTGAGTTGGACATTTGAGTTGGGAGTTGGATACGTGAGTTGGACATTTGAGTTGGGAGTTGGATACGTGAGTTGGACATTTGAGTTGGGAGTTGGATACGTGAGTTGGACATTTGAGTTGGGAGTTGGATACGTGAGTTGGACATTTGAGTTGGGAGTTGGATACGTGAGTTGGACATTTGAGTTGGGAGTTGGATACGTGAGTTGGACATTTGAGTTGGGAGTTGGATACGTGAGTTGGACATTTGAGTTGGGAGTTGGATACGTGAGTTGGACATTTGAGTTGGGAGTTGGATACGTGAGTTGGACATTTGAGTTGGGAGTTGGATACGTGAGTTGGACATTTGAGTTGGGAGTTGGATACGTGAGTTGGACATTTGAGTTGGGAGTTGGATACGTGAGTTGGACATTTGAGTTGGGAGTTGGATACGTGAGTTGGACATTTGAGTTGGGAGTTGGATACGTGAGTTGGACATTTGAGATCGGAGTTGGATACGTGAGTTGGACATTTGAGATCGGAGTTGGATACGTGAGTTGGACATTTGAGTTGGGAGTTGGATACGTGAGTTGGACATTTGAGTTGGGAGTTGGATACGTGAGTTGGACATTTGAGTTGGGAGTTGGATACGTGAGTTGGACATTTGAGTTGGGAGTTGGATACGTGAGTTGGACATTTGAGTTGGGAGTTGGATACGTGAGTTGGACATTTGAGATCGGAGTTGGATACGTGAGTTGGACATTTGAGATCGGAGTTGGATACGTGAGTTGGACATTTGAGTTGGGAGTTGGATACGTGAGTTGGACATTTGAGTTGGGAGTTGGATACGTGAGTTGGACATTTGAGTTGGGAGTTGGATACGTGAGTTGGACATTTGAGTTGGGAGTTGGATACGTGAGTTGGACATTTGAGTTGGGAGTTGGATACGTGAGTTGGACATTTGAGTTGGGAGTTGGATACGTGAGTTGGACATTTGAGTTGGGAGTTGGATACGTGAGTTGGACATTTGAGTTGGGAGTTGGATACGTGAGTTGGACATTTGAGTTGGGAGTTGGATACGTGAGTTGGACATTTGAGTTGGGAGTTGGATACGTGAGTTGGACATTTGAGTTGGGAGTTGGATACGTGAGTTGGACATTTGAGTTGGGAGTTGGATACGTGAGTTGGACATTTGAGTTGGGAGTTGGATACGTGAGTTGGACATTTGAGTTGGGAGTTGGATACGTGAGTTGGACATTTGAGTTGGGAGTTGGATACGTGAGTTGGACATTTGAGTTGGGAGTTGGATACGTGAGTTGGACATTTGAGTTGGGAGTTGGATACGTGAGTTGGACATTTGAGTTGGGAGTTGGATACGTGAGTTGGACATTTGAGTTGGGAGTTGGATACGTGAGTTGGACATTTGAGTTGGGAGTTGGATACGTGAGTTGGACATTTGAGTTGGGAGTTGGATACGTGAGTTGGACATTTGAGTTGGGAGTTGGATACGTGAGTTGGACATTTGAGTTGGGAGTTGGATACGTGAGTTGGACATTTGAGTTGGGAGTTGGATACGTGAGTTGGACATTTGAGTTGGGAGTTGGATACGTGAGTTGGACATTTGAGTTGGGAGTTGGATACGTGAGTTGGACATTTGAGTTGGGAGTTGGATACGTGAGTTGGACATTTGAGTTGGGAGTTGGATACGTGAGTTGGACATTTGAGTTGGGAGTTGGATACGTGAGTTGGACATTTGAGTTGGGAGTTGGATACGTGAGTTGGACATTTGAGTTGGGAGTTGGATACGTGAGTTGGACATTTGAGTTGGGAGTTGGATATGTGAGTTGGACATGCCACGCTTGCCTTCTCCCCTTCCTCCCCCACCCCCCCCCCCCCCACTCTTCCCCATTTAAAGTGCTACCGGAGACGCAGGTGTGGTCGTTTACAACGGGAGACCTGGCCTTGGGCACAGCCTCAACGAGGCTGGCAGCAGACAAGGCGCTAGCATGAGCGTCCCAAAAATGTCACACCCAACCTTCCCCCCCTTCCCTCTTCCCATTCCCCCCTTCCCTCTTCCCATTCCCCTTCAGAGGTGCCGCTGGAAACGCAGGTGTGGAGGTGACAACAGGCGGCCGAACCTTCGGCACAGCCTCGGGCATGGCTCCCCGAGCCAGGCTGGCAGTGTACAAGGCGCTGTGGATCATCGGGGAGTACCAAGGGATTGGGTCCGGTTCTGACCTCATTGCTGCTGCAGAAAAGGCGGTGGCTGATGGAGTGGACGTGATATCGTGCTCGTGGGGGGGCCTTGCCATGTACTTCCAAGACCTGCCCTACTTGCGTGGTCTAAAGGTGAGAATCTGTGCCTCCCCTATTTGAGGACAACATTCATACCTGCCCTCTGCCAACCTTGGCAGCACTTTCAGCCTGCTTGGGAAACGGCAGTACCTGGTGTGGTGGACGTCATATCATGCTCGTGGGGGGGTCTTGCCATGTGCTTCCAAGACCTACCCTACTTGCGAGGACTTAAGGTGCGAATCATCTTTGAGAATTCTCAAAAGTAACTTTCAGGATCTACCTACCCTATTTGCAAGGTGTTAAGGTGAGAATGCCGGATCACATAGACTTCTGTGCCACTCTTGGCAGCAATTACAGCCTGCTTGGAAAACGACAGTAGCTGACGGGGTGGATGTCATATTGTGCTCGTGGGGGGCCCTTGCCATGTGCTTCCAGTTGAGGTTTCATAGCAGCCCGTGCGACAGGCAAAGAGGAAACCGCCAACATCAGCAGACCCATGCAATCATCTCATGCCTCTTGATCCGGTCCGGCTAGATGGTCATACCCTATGCAGCAACCTCATCACTCGCATCCCATTCTCAACCTCTTATTCTCACCCTCCCGTTCTCGCTCTCCCAACCTAACCCTCCCAATTTAAACCTCCCAATCCAGCCCTGCCATTTCTCACCCTCCCATTCTCACCCTTTCTCACCCTCTCATTTCGACCTCCCAATGTCACCCTCCTCTTCTCACCCTCCCTTTCTCACCCTCCCATTCTCACCCTCCCTTTCTCACCTACCCATTGTCAACCTCGCTTTCACACCCTCCTCTTCTCACCCTCCCATCCCCACCCTTCCCATCCCCACCCTTCCCATCCTCACCCTTCACATCCTCACCCTTCCCATCCTCACCCTTCCCATCCTCACCCTTCCCATCCTCACCCTTCCCATCCTCACCCTTCACATCCTCACCCTTCCCATCCTCACCCTTCCCATCCTCACCCTTCCCATCCTCACCTGTCCAGATTTCAGGCCGGAGTGGTCTCACCTTCCTCGAGTGCTTCTTCCTTTTTCCCTTCTCACCCTGCCCATTCCCACCTTTCCCATTCCCACCCTTCCCAATTGCATCCTGTCTATCCCCAACCTCCCATTCTCACCTTTCCATCCTCCAGGCCGGAGTGGTCACGGCCTTTGCAGCCGGCAACGAGGGCCGCCCCAACCCCATGAGCATATGGGGCACCCTCTCGAATGCCTCTCCCTTCTACCTCACAGTGGGAGCAAGGTACGGCTGGAGTGGGGGGGGTGCGGAGGGTGGCGGTGTTTCTGAGATGACTCAGAACACAGCCGGCAACAATGGTCGCCCCAACCCCATGAGCATATGGGGCACCCTCTCGAGTGCCTCTCCCTTCTACCTCACAGTGGGAGCAAGGTACGGCTGGAGTGAGGGGGGAGAGGGATGGGGGTTGTGTTGCAAGTGATACATGGAATGTGATTATAGCAAGGAAGGAGTGGTGGCTCGATCCCAAAAGGATGTGGGGGGCACCCATGGGGAATGGCTCGGGGGAATGGTTCGGGGGAATGGCTCGGAAAAAAGTCTCTTCCTTCCAAGTTCCCAGCCACGATAGCCAGTGTAATCCAGGCTCCTTGCATCAGGAGGGAGTATGGGGATGGGATAACAGTTGGGTTTAATAAGGCGACGTGTGAGTCGGCTCAAAGGTATTCAGGCAGGAGTACCAAGATCAGCTCGATGGGGTCGAACAATCTTCAAAAGTCTTCTTGTTTCCACAGCAGCACTATGAGGCAGGAAGAACTTCCCACTCCTCGTCTCCCTTCCCCTCAACCCCACTCTTCAACACCCCCCACCCTTTCCGCCCCCCTCCCCACTCCGCCCTCCCCCTCTTCTCATTCCCTTAACCACTGCGTTCCCCACCGCAGCACCATTGGCCGAAAGTACTCGGCTGTGCTCACCTTGGGCGATGGAACCACCTTCACACGGCGCAGTCACGGTGGCACAACTGCCACGTCATCAGCGCTGCCCCTCAGACTCCTGCTTCCCCCCTTCCCCCCACCACTGCCCCTCCCCTCAGCACCATCGGTCGAAAGTACACGGCTGAGTTCACCTTGGGCGATGGAACCACCTTCACAGGATACAGCCTCGGCGGCACCACTGCCACGGCGTCACCTCTGCCGCTCATGCTCGCCGGGTCTGCTGCGTCCCCTCCCGAAGCCACGGGCGCGGTGAGCTCCTTCTCTGGTTTACATGCTTGCTTAGTCAGCGCTGCACCTTGTTGCTAGTTGAATCAGTACGACCACTTGTTGCTTGCTGAGAATGCATCAAATTCCAGAGGGGTATGGCGCAAGGTGAGCTTCACACTCGTGGGTTCACAGCTGGGGTTCACAGCTGGGGTTCACAGCTGGGGTTCACAGCTGGGGTTTCATATCAACTATATCTGAGTAACTTGCATATTTTCAGAGGAGAAATTTCTCAAACGACTCAGAGTCGCCTGCCATCTCTGCACCCCTTTCATCCACCGGGCATCCACCGGCAACATTGAATGCATAGATGAAAGGAAAGTCAACTTTCTAAGTCGACTCGAAATTCAATTCCGCACCCCTTCCATCCATCAGGCTTCCACCTGTGACCCGGAATACGTGGATGCAACGAAAGTCGCCGGCAAGTTTCTTGTCTGCATTGTGACGGAGTGGGTGCACAGGGAGTGGAGCTATGACGCGGTGCTCATGTGGGCAGACACGCTGGGAGCGGCTGCCATACTCGTTATAAGCGAGGCAGCGGAGTACGACGCGGTTCCTATCTTCTCCTACTCGAAGACTCCTAGCATCGTGTTGAAGTTCTCGCACGGGCAGACCGTTAAAAAATACATTGAAGCTGAAAGCAGGCAAGAAGCTCTAACCTCGTTATCTCTTTCTCCTGTTTTATCTCTTCGCGCATGCTTAATATGCCTTTCTCAAATATCCTCTACTTTTCAAACACCTGGCTTTTTTATTGGTCCTTCCCACAACCCCCACCCCAAACCCACCCGACCCACCTTCCCTTTCCCCCTCTTCTCCACTGCCCCTCCTCTCTTCTCTCCACTCTTCCCTCTTCTCTTCCATCATCGCATCCCTATCTTTATCCCATCCATCCACTCCCCCATACACAACCACTTCTCATTCCCTTCCGCTTTCCCTCTTTTCCCTTCCATCTCCCTTTCTCCTCCCCTTTCCCCCATTCCTCGTCCCCTCCCCCCCTCCCCCCTTCCTCCTTCCTCCTTCCCCTTCCAATTTCCCACTTCCCCGTTCCCCCCCCTCCCCTTCATGTCAAAGCAGCCCCCACGGCAACACTCTCCACTTCCACGGTCTCCCTCTACTTCACCGCCCCCCAGCTCGCTTACTTCCACTTCCCCCTTCCCCCTTCCCCCTGCCCTCTCTCCTCCCCTTCATGTCAATGCAGCCCCACAGCCACGCTGTCCGCTTTCACCGTCTCCCACTCCTCCAACGCCCCTCAGCTCGCTTACTTCTCCTCAACCGGTCCCCCACGTAGCCCGCTCTACCCTCCTGCGCTACTCATGCGCGACTTCCCCACTAATGACATCCTTAAACCGGACGTCATTGGGCCTGGTTACCAGCTATGGGCCGCGGCTCCGGGTAAGTCGCTCGAGACTGCTGCGACCGACCCGCCCGAGTTTAACTACTACTCCGGGACGTCAATGTCGACGCCGCATTTGGCGGGGATCATGGCGCTGATCGTGCAGAACAAGCCGAGCTGGTCCCCCTCGCAGGTGATTTCCGCGATAACCACGACGGCATATACGAGGAATGAAAACGGGCAGTTGATTCAACGGGCAAATGGAAAGAAGGCGAATGCGTGGGACTATGGAGGAGGCCACGTGGATCCCACGCGTGTCTTGGACCCAGGGCTCACGTTTCATGCGGCGCACAAGCACTTCGTGAACTTCCTTATGATGAGGGACCCGATAAGAACGAAGAAGAGATTCTGGCGCATGGGAAAGGCGCATCCGATTTTCCCTTCGAACCTCAACCGCGCCTCGATAGCAGTAACTCGACTGCACGGCGTTACACTAGTGTACAGGCGAGTGAAAAACGTCTACAACTTGCAATCCACTTATAAAGCGAAGGTGGACCCTCCACCTGGCTTTAACGTGAAAGTTTGGCCAAAGAAGATCACAATCAATCCTGGAAAATCTAGGGTGTTTAGGGTCGCTATCACTAGGTTGTTGCCTTTGGAAGCTTTTAGGTTTGGAACCATCACATGGTCTGACCAACATGGCCATTCTGTGCCGGTGCGCCTCGTGGTGAGGTCTCCGATTTTGCCGTGATTGTCAACAGTAAAGTGACCAACATGGCGATTCTGCTGCAATCTTTGTATATACATAGAAAGCTCCATAGTATTCCTAAAACCACTCAGGTTCAAGTAAGATTAAACATCAAATTGTTTGGGAGGTGCATTCAAAACTACATTTGGGAGGCGCCAAGCCCAAGTTCTTCCAGTCCAACCATTGACCGATCAACTCCTCAAACAGCCTACATCAATGTCACATCCAACGAGAAAAAAAAAAGGTGAAAGCATGCAGACTACTTTTCCATTCCTGTGCTCTGCTCCACAGCTCTTGACTACTTTGCCGAACTCTGAAATGACCTTATTACCTGCTCCACTCTCAAACTTCACTTAACTTTGCTTAATGCTGCTTCACTCGACCACCCAGCTTCATGCTACCTGGGCCATGTGTCAACCTATTTGTTTAAATGTTTGGTAGACTAGGTTGGTTAGCTTGAGGTATTCTTTAGGGAGTACAACTTTGTTGATATCGCAGCTATATGACCTTCTGCTAGCCATTCTGTTCGTATAATTTTCGGACATATTTTCAGAGCGAAGGTCCCGGGTTTGAATCCCCACCGGAGGTGGCGCGGGCGTCGCTGCCGCAGTGCCATGTCCTAGGCATCTCAATGAAGGGGGGTGTCAAAAGATCTGCACAGCATATCCTCGATTTATCAAAGGAAAGAGTTATATGTGCAAATTCTGGGTGGTCATGGACGCACTCACACCCTAATTAACAAGTCATTTTACCACAATAGTGCCTGGGTGTAGTGGTTGGGATTCTAACACCAAGAACTCCCCTATAATGTACGTACTAAATTCTGACATCCCTGGCCGTAATGGAGAAACTGATGAAGTTGTTAAGCTGCTTTCCAAGTCGTTCATATGGGAGCCGCGGGATCAATGGACGCTGTCAGAATGTTATATTTCTCTAGTCTGCAGTGGGGTACTCTATAATGAGTACAGCCCTGTTAGGGTTTGTTATATGTATCCCATTGTTTGCTCGTGAAACCCCCCTTTTCTGCTGTTCTCATTCTTGCTTTCCTCTAGACAAGAACCTAGGGTAGGGTTTCTCCTAAGCCTAGGTATGTCTACTATTTCTGACATGGTATCAGAGCGTCTACGCTCCTGGCCTGTGGGCCCACCTGCTTCCGCTGCTGTACTCTGTGTCGCGCGCCCTGTGGCGGTTTCCTACCCGCCACGCATCCTGGGCACGCGTGGCGGTTTCGTCGCCCGTCGTGGCGCCCCCAGGGACCCGTGCGCGGCTCCCCGTCGCCCGTCGCGGCGCCCCCGTCGACCAGCGTGCCACCCCCGGGGACCCGCGCGCCCGTCCCCGTCAACCCGCGCGCCCCCCCCCCCCCCCCCGTGGACCCGCGCGCCGCCCCCGGGGACCCGCGCGCAGCCTCCTCCCCACCCCCCCCCCCCCCCCCCCCCCCCCCCCCTTTTCTCCTTCGCCTCCCTGCTGCGCGTGCAGCCGTGGGGTGGCGGGTATGGGGGTGGCTGGTATGGGGGTGGCTGGTATGGGGGTGGCGGGTGTGTGAGCCGTACCCTGCTCCTCCTCCTCCTCCGTCTCCCGCTGCTGCAGTTGCCGCTGAGGGGGGTGGATGTGTGAGAGCCGTGGCAGTGGCGCTAGGGGGGTGCCGTGGGAGTGGAGCTAGGGGTGCTAGGGGGGTGTGTGAAAGGGGGTCTGCGACAGTGGGGGAGGTTGAACGGAGGTAGCCGTTGTGGAGCCAGCAGCGCCTGTAGTCCGGATGCCCTTGCTCGTGTCCGGTAGCCAGTGAGCCCATTGCGCCAGTCGCCCGTGGGTCCGTTGCTCCAGCCGCTCGTCTTAGCCGCGGAGCCAGTTACTCCAGTAGTCCGGATGCCCCTGTTCGTGTCCGGTAGCCCGTGTGCCAGTTGCTCCAGTAGTCCGTGTGCCAGCAGCTTCAGCCGCCGCCTCCAATCTCCTCTCTTCTCACAGTCCCTCCTCCTCCTCACTAGTCCTCTATGACTTCCACTAGCTTTGCTTGTGCTTGTGAGCTTGCTCTATGACTGCTTGTTGTGCTGATTATACCCCACTTTGACTATGGGGGTGTGTTAGAATGTTATATTTCTCTAGTCTGCAGTGGGGTACTCTATAGTGAGTACAGCCCTGTTAGGGTTTGCTATATGTATCCCATTGTTTGCTAGTGAAACCCCCCTTTTCTGCTGTTCTCATTCTTGCTTTCCTCTAGACAAGAACCTAGGGTAGGGTTTCTCCTAAGCCTAGGTATGTCTACTATTTCTGACAGACGCATTTTGATAGATGTCTTTGGATTCAGCAATACGCTCGACCAAGGGAAACCAGTCTTCAAGCTTGGTCTGAAAGGATATATCGCAATTGTCACACACCTACAAACGAGGTAGAATCGCTGTCATCATTGGTCGTCTGTGTAGCAAAGGAAGAATTTTACGCTCTTGTCATTTCAATTCCCTCTCTAGATGATCAAACAGGTGTCATCACCACCAAGAATATGGCCTGTACTCTTCACCCTCAAGGCTCGGGTACTTCTGATCAAGGAAGGCGAGCTATTCCCTACCATCATTTCATTTCTATTACCTATGCTAGCATCACCCTCACATGCCATCTTAGAATGAGGAGAAGGAAGCCAAGGAGGGAAAAATACCGTACCCAACCACAACGTCAAATCAAGATGAATGGGGTTCGAATACCTAAACCCGCAAATTGGTGCGATGGCCCGCTTGACATTTCAAATCAGCCACATGATTATGCTCATCACTGCCCATCTACTATTACCCGCCGACTGATACATCAGCCTGTCATTGCACGTCAGCCTACTTCGCCCGTACATCCCGACCACGAGCCAACTGCCACGACATTGCCCGCCCTCGACGACACGTGCTGCATAAAAAACCATCGTCGACCCTAAGAAAATCTGGAGCCTTCGTATTCGCCACCGCGTTACCGTTTGCTTTTGTTATAAATGTTTGCTCACATGTTCGCTCACATTTGTAGTCGTTTGCCAATTTAACACAATCCTCGTTTACTCGTTTCATTGCACCCATAACATTGTATAACCTGTTACTAGTGCAATTGAACGAGTGTAAATCAAGGATTTCTCAAGAGGGGCAAAGTGGTGCAATGTGAGCAAAGGCATGGGCGAACATTAAGTAGCGAAGCCTACTATCGATAACGCGCAGTTGCAAGGTAGCTAGTGCAATGCTGGCAGCAAGGCTCAGGCTAGTCTTAAAGCGTATGTCGACTCAGCATACAATTGTGCATGGTTTCGCAAAAGTCGTGCGCGAGATGATGAAGGCCGTTAGTAGTAACTGGCGATGAAAGGACGAGTAGGAGACAGAGGAAAGAGAAAAGAAAAAAACGAGAAAAGAGAACGGAGGAGAGGAGACAGCATGGGATGACGTAGGAGGCGACCAGAGAAAAGAGGAGGGTAGCGAAAAACGAGGGGGACGCGAACGGATGAGAATAGAGCGGATACCGAAAAAGGGAGACATGAAGCAAGCACGAAGCGGATGATGGACCGATGAGTGGGAGTCAGGGGTCGAATAAGGAGATAGAGGGGTTGTCAATTGTCAACCCCGGGGAAGACAAGCCGGAAATGAGTTCGGGGGAGGAAGCCGGGGACCTTAGACTAGGAGAGACCATGGAGGAGACGGTAGACCAAAAAGGCAAACTACAGACGCAGGTGGCGACGGCGGCTATTACGGCTACAGCTTATGTGATGGCTGCTACTATGGGAAACGCTACAACTGCTGCAGCGCCGGAATTCCCGCACCCGCGGCATCCCCAAAACCAGCAGACCCAGAACCAGCAACCCCAGGGCCAGCACCCACGGTGGCAGTGCCCCTAGAACCAACACGCCCAGCGGCAGCTCCCCCATTCTCCACAGCGACCAGCTGCGACGGCAAAGTCGACTGCAACGGTGACAATGGTTGCGGCAGCGACAAAGGATGGTGCGGTGACGCCGGTGAAAGCTGATATTGTGGCAAACGGCTGTGGCGGGGCCGGGGGGATGCAGCAAAAGGTGTCGCTACATGTGAGGATCTGGTTCAGGAAAGATAAATCTATTGAATGATCCACCTGGGTACAAGGCGAGGCTATATATAGGCTCGGCACAAAGGCAGTAACCCGGGTGTTATTACAAGGTTCCGCGGTCGCGAAGTCCCGAACGGGTCCTTCCCGAATTTGGTAGAAGGCAAAATGGTGGCAACCGAAAAGCCTAGAATTTGGTGCACTCAACCTAGTTCGGTGCCTGTAACTATAGTAAAAGCAACGAACCTAGGAAATCAAGCAAAAGCATGCAAGATAAAATAAAGCTAAGCTAGATAATGCGTAATGAAGCATAATCAAGCAAGTAAAGTCCAGCAAAGCCGTCGTACTCTCACACGTCCCCCCCTCAAAGCTGGGTGGTGTGAGAAACACCCTGCTTGACAAGATAGTCCTTGAGAGCACGGCGTGCGTTGCCCATATCAACTTATGCAACCCAACCGTCCTCCGATGGGTCATATCCCTTCCAGCGTATCAGGAACTCGAGCGTGTTGCCACGTCTGCGTCGATGAGCGAGCACTCGTTCCACCTCGTACTCTGGTTCATCCTGTACGAGAACAGGTGGTGGTG